CCTGGGCACACTGCTGGCTCATGTTCAGCCGGCTGTCAACTGCTAGTTAGTCACTGCTAACATTGCTACCAAAAACTCTGCAGAAACTTCATGGTCTTCTGCATCTTTCCTTAGTACAAATCAGAGCACAGACAAAACGATAGATGAAGCAAAAATTGGCAGGCAACAAATGAAGATTACTCGCATCCCAGGAAAAACCATTATAGGAGCAAGACACTGTCATTCTTCCTGCCCCCCCTTTTTATTCTTTTTGATCATCTCCAAATACTGCTTTTGTATGTAATTGTACACTGTTAAATGCTACTACAAGGAAAGATGTGTATATTGAGCTTACAATATAACATAGAATATGTCCATGCATGAAAATGATTTGATTAAAGAATCACTATTTAAATATGCAAGAGCCACCATTCTCTTCACTTGTTCTTTGTGTTGGCAAGTGTTTTAAAAACATACTACCTCAGAACAAAAACTAGAAATAGGTACTGGTATCAAATTCTTTATTACCTTTTCAATAAGATCCAAGCACTCTCCATTGTCTGTCCAGTCAATATCCTCCCAAACTAGTCCTTCCCTAAGGAAAATAAGGAGAGCCTTTTTATTGACAACTACAAATAAAATATTTTAAATATAGAAATAAGAGGAGCTCATGTATTTGTCTTGCAAAATACAGCAAAATCAGCTTGCTTTTAAAAAATGCACAGCCCCAGACTAGGAGATTTTCAAAGGAAGCAAAGGTAACCCAGATTTCAAGTGAACACGGGTATTTTCAAAATTCTTTCAAATTTCATCTGTATCTCTAACCTGCTGTATTCCAGTTGCTCCAAGGAAAAGATGTGCTTGTTGAAGTACTCCTGAAGCTTTTCATTTGCATAATTAATATTGAACTGCTCAAAACGGTTTACCTAAAGAGACAAGAAATCTTGAAAATTTCAAAAACATATACACTCCAAGTATTTTACTTTGCAAACAAGGAACTGGTTGAAGTCGTAACATGTTTAATAATCAAGTTCCAGTGAAGATGACAAAGATATGTAGAATGATGAAGCATAAATATCAGACAATCCATCTGAACAAACTTTTGAAACCTACCTCAAAGTTTTCAAATCCAAATATGTCCAAAATTCCAATGGACTTGAAGTCTTCCTTGCTTCTGATTCTGCTGTTGATTTTCTTAATGACCCAAGCAAAACACTGAGAATAAAGTGCCATAGCCATAGAATCTCTGCTGTCTATTGCCTGCGTTAAAGAAAGAACACACTACACATCAATCACCCCTGTAACTGAGAACTTACCAGACTTTGCTGGTCAGCGTCCCTTGCACAGCATAGAGCAAAGTATAATGCCAGCAGGTCTGTATTCCTATGTACCTTGACAGCAATTGTATTAACAGTTACAGAAAACCCCGGTTTAAGCTTTAACAGTGTAAGTTATAACAGCTGTACACCTACGTGGCTTTAAAATTACATTTCAAAACTAAAGCATTCAAGAATTAGGAAATTACTAGAAACCTAAGGCGCGGAGGAAGAAAAGAGAAGGGTAGGAAATAACACCTTAAGTTACCCCTTTCTAGAGGTAAGCATAATGTTATGTATACCTTTTTCTAATGCCCTTCTTGTAAATAATAGAATTATTTTTGCTGAAAGTTTTGAAAAATGCTCACCTGACACAAATGTCCATAATGAAAAATATCAGCCTACGTGATTAGAATTTGGAAAAAAATGGTAAGCGATCAGGCTTAATAAGAATAACAAGAGCCAAGCTACAAGCCCTGGCCAGAATGATAAGATGGGATATACAGAAATTTCTAAAAACTATGTAGTATTTTCGATAGCAACTCTGATGCATGATCTAAACTTCCCTTCCTGAGCGACCAATGATTTCACTGGACTTGAAGTCTGAGCCATATATTTAACAGACCCTAAAAACATGTCAAAACTGAGATGCCTTTACCTGTTGTATACTAAGAGGTGTTAGGATTTCTTCTCCCCTGAGTATCATTGACCTCTGTGTCAACGCTTCAGTTAGCTGTGTGGAGTCCAACCCCAGTAGTTCAGCAGATCTACCCAGAGCTGTCGAAAGAAAGAGACAAATACAAATATATCCTTAAATGTATAAGGCTATGAAACTAATTATTATTATTACCACCATTTAAGATGCTTCTAAAATAATGGGAATTGGAGATAAAAACACAACTAGAAACACTAGGATCTGTTTTTGCTGCTCATGAAAAGGCACAGTATCATAAATATGCACAACTGAAGGAATTTAGCAGTATAAATTCATCACAAGTCACAAATATTTATTTTCCTCTTAATGTTACATGTCAAGAATTCAAACAACCTACTGCTTACACGAACATATTTTTTCCAGATAAACAGTAATTCACTCTTTGTCCACACAAATGCGTTTCAGCTTCCCTCAGGATGATGAGGATAAAGAAAACCAATGAAGTTTTTTTCTTACATGCATAATTTAATTTTCAGTTTTGCTGTAATGTGGTATATAAAGCAGTATGTAATGCTATGCTTTATCGCCATATTTGAACAAACATTTAAAATGCTCGCCAGCTGAATCTTTAGATATACCAGCACATACTTTCAGATTTGTAACTGAGGTATTGAAAGCTCTAACAAAAGATACCTTCAGTGGAGATCTCAGTTAAGGAACATACTTGAGCATTTACATTTTATCAGCTTGAGACTATTTCAAAGAAGGAATTAGATTAAAATGGAATTTCACTGCTATTAATGGAATAAATATGTGCCCAAAGTCTTCCCTAATTAAGATCTAGCATCCAGCAGCAAACTAATTTGCCTTATCTGTCAAAAAACCCAAAAATAATATTTGAATAAACATCTACAGATGCTAAAAAGCAGTAAGACCCTTTCACTGTTTGTCCTTGCTATGGTCAGATACACTAGCAATGAATATAACTTTCACAACCTCAAGAAACATTTACACACCACAAGGAAGCACAGCCTTCTCACCTGTTTTAAAGGACACCTGTGCCCCACCAGCAGTGATGAACTCAACATTTCCGAGATGCAAAATGCCAGCCAACAGCCTCAAAACTTCTCGCACCTCCTCCTTGCTGAACTGCATCACTTCCATTGCAGTCTGGAATGACACGTGAGCTTCTTCAATAACATGCACACTGACTCAAAAACAGGGACAAGGACAAACCCACCAACTGTGCTGTCAGGCCTAGACAGGCAAGTCAGGACTGACAGAGGGCTGGCAGGAGTTAATTCCTTTGGTTTCATCCCAAATCGAATACACCATAATACATCACGGGGACAACTTGGAACATGCAAGTATCACTCTGGTTTTAAGAAATCTCCTTTTCATGCTGTAAGGATCCTGTAATTTGCTTTCAAATTCTTCTGTATAAACATTGACATGCCCTACTGAGTTGTGCATCAGATGCAATTTCACTAATTTGCATGAGTAGCTGACAACCTCTTCTGTGTTTTTACCAAATTTTGCCAATTAGCCTTGTAGGTAAAACGAGGCACAGGGGAGGAAACACTGCAACATGTAAGATTTGCTCATTTGTTGTCTCAGCCATGGAGAATTCAGAAGACGCCTTCTGCAGTATATTCTGGGCAAACCAGGAAGCCCAAACACACATCTTACCAGTGTGGTCTGACATCTTACAGCAAAACTGAACGAGAAAAAGAGATCTATATAAAACGTGTTGATTTTTTGAATAACCACTATGGCAATGATCAAGGCTCAACTACGTAACAAGGAGAATGGCAAATCTCTATCTAAAGAAACGTTATAACAAGAGGAGGAACACACCTTTCTCTGACGTCGAAGGGGTAATTGTATGCCACTGGAAATCACCAGAATTTCCCAAATCTGTGTCTCATATGAGCCTGTCTGAGACCAGATCACAGTTTTACACCCTTACAGTTAGACTCATCATGTTATGGTCACTGCAGGTGTCTGACAGATGACACATGACACATTTCATCTTTCATAAATCATCAGTTACAAATGGAAAAGCCTCAGACTCATCCCACAATTAGATGTAGAGAAGAGATAAAGACTGAAGGTGCGTTTTGTATAGAAGACCTTTCACAACAGAGCTCTAAGAAAGGCGGCAGCACTGTGAGTCCGTCTCCACGCTCACCATGCAGTTCCTCCCTGTCTCCCACAAAAGTTTCACTTAAGTAACGTTTCCGGGACTTAAACCGCAATAAAAATAGGCTAAGGGGATGACTATAATAGGAAAACACAGGTGAGGGCAAACTGTGGGGTTTTTGCCCATCTCCCACTCTGAGAACACAGCCTGGCAGCCTCAGCCCCTGCTCCAAGCCTGCCCACACCGCGGGCAGCGCACAAGCGTCACCTGCCCAGCTGATTTCATGCTCTGCCTACCCTGGGATGATTAGCACAAATTAAATGTCATGCTAATCAGCTTAAGCCATGTGACTATAATGTAGATAAGTCACTAACTTTTCCAGCACCCCTCCGCCCCCACCATACTAGATGAGGATGTTTTACACTAAAAATAACTGCTGCATCCACTACACATGAATTTGTCAATTTGGCAAAGAGATTAACATAGCTAAGCAAAACCAGTTTGGTGAAGGGCATAAAAACCATTATTTTTACTGATTTTTAAAATCTAACACATATTACCTTGGTGATATAGCAAGCAATTAGCAATTATCCTAATAGTCAGTATACACTAATTGCTGTAGCTAATTGGTGTGGGTATAAGACTTAAAGCCATTCAGAGAAAGACTCCATCAAGACCTCGTTTTTAATTTGTGTTTACATTTTCTTCAACTCTATTGTGTAAGTTACTCCATACAACTGGATTTCCCAGCTGCAACTTAAAGCGTCATAGAAGCCCAGGTGCTTCACTCCCCATGTGCTGCACTGTAGACTTGACCCAGCAGATGCTACATGACCTGGGCAAAGCTTTAGGATGGAAAAAACAGTGGAAGCAGACATACCTGTAATTTAAAACAATGTAGGGAAGGGCAAAGGCATGTAAATGACTTGCTGTCTTCCTAACTGATATTCTTTTTATTTCAAAACTTAATTATTTCACTAAATTATAGCACACTTTGAAATGATAGAATAAAAATCAAGTATTGGTAAGGAAGGCAAAGACATGTTCAAAATGACAGCGAAGTGTTATGAGAAAATGTAAGTCCCTGTAAGCTTAGTTCTTCTGAGAGAGCTGCACATAGAGCCAGAATGACAGAGAGAGCAGGTAAGCACAAGAAGGCTTTGTCCCCTGCTCTGTCAATGGGCTCCAGGCACCTGCACCTCCAGCATTTTTAAAGCATAAAGAACTAGGGAAACAACTCACAATGACTTCCTTGAAAGAATCTTTGTCACTGATTGTCTTATCCGCTACACATCCAGACTGATTCAGGTAGTGGTAATTCTCCGGTACAGATAAGTAAAAAGCATCTAATGAGGAGAGAAAAGAGGATGACTGTAAAAAAAAAAAAAGCCAAAATAAAAGCACTCCACAAATTACCAGGACACTATGTCAGAGTTAAACAGTTCACAATTCATTTGCTCAGAAATTATGATGATGCACAAAGTTTTATATTGAAATCAGATATGGGGTTTTATTTTGCTGGTTTTTTTGCTTTATTTAGCTGCACAATGGAGTTAACTCTACTTTTTAGCATGCAAAGACAGCAGGCCCAAAGGGAGATGCTGAGACAGCTTTAGGCAATTTTGCACATATACAAATGTCATTTCTTTTGTTCAGTGGATTTATTCTTTATGAGAGAGGATTAGAGGAACCAGAATTATTTCTCTTTGTTGCTGTGGAGTTATTTTGTACCAGCAAAAATATTCAGCTTGAACAGAATGAAGCATGTTTGTCCCCAAGTAATTTTCCCAGGGCCACAGCAGAAGCTGGGAGAAAAACTACCAGCAGCTCGGTGACATTCTTCAACTAAGCAGGTTGCTTTATCAAGCGGAGTTCAAATTCACACTCATTGAATCCTGGCTGAATAAATAACCTATTTCTTTGCTTGGGTTAGCGGGTTTCTGTAGTTAAATTCTCCACTGCTGTCACCATGGCTGACTGCTAGCAGAGAGCCACTACAGTTGTGTGACTTGTGCTTTGCCACTCACCTTTCTCTCTCTCTTCTATCCCTGCCAGCAGAGCATAGAATATATGATAATTTCTTTCCCCGGGGTTTTGTCTTACTACACGATTCTGCCAAAGTAAAAAATAGTTTCCATTTAAGCAATCATTTTTAAGGAGAATTTTTTTATCCACTATTTCAAAGAAAATATTAAATCAAACAAAATTAACTAAGCAAAAGCAAGCATCAACTTACTTTTTCCAATAAATCTACAGCCAGGAAGAAAAACTTCAGTCAAGGAATAAAGTAAAAAGCAACTAATGCGCAAGCTATTTATAATCTTCCTTAATTCTTTCATTTGAGACAACCGGAAGAGCACCACGGTCTTTTCTTACAACATGCCTACTGCCATAACCAGATGAATAAAGTGGCAACAATGATAATACTGCAGCAGTTCTAATACCAATGAATTCCCACACCTCCTCCTCCTCCACCCCGTGAAAACTGGACTTGTCATGTTCTGGATTTTAAATGGCATCTGCTTTCCTTTACTTTTCACTAAAGCTTGGGAACAGCTTTAAGGATGAAAACTGTCCCACTGCAAAAGCAGCTTATCTTCAAAACACTAGGTAGGATCACCTCGGTATATTCCTCATCCCCACACCTCTGGTGCTCTGGTGGAGCTGGCTCATAGTCCAATTTTGCCAAACGCAGGACAAATCCAAGCATTTGACCCACCCATGCTCATACTGCAGAAAATCAGCGGCTCTGCTCTTCCCAGTACTTTTCCAGAAACTAAGCAGCTTATCTTTACATGTAATAAATGAGGGAAATAGCTGACAACTGAAGTTACCCCCAACAACTCAGGCTGCTTTAGCTCACTATGTAGGAACACACACATGAGCCACTCTAGCAATAGCAATACAAAATCCTTGTCCTCTGAGAGTATATCCCCCCCCCCCCGCCACAAATGTACGTGTGCACAAACACACACAGAATTTGGTGTTACTGCTTCCCTTTCCCATCTGCGTCAGCTCAATTGAACTGTGTATGTTTCAGGATGGGGCGAAAGGACAGACAAAGGCGAGCCACTTCTCTCTCAGCCCCCCACAGAGGAGGTACGTGGGGGCTGCCTGCAAACAGGGGTAAAATCACCAAACGAGGATACAATCTATAATTCTTCCTCCCTGAATGTTTCCTTTCTGACAGATGTTCAGCTGAATAAACTTCCCAAAGCGACTTGAGTTGTTGTTGTAAACAGTCTTCGCATTGCCAAAAGCTTCCATAATAGGGCTGTGAAAATACGGAAGAACGACAAGAGCGTTAACGTGTGACCAGCATGCCAACAGTTTCACATGGGACTGGTGAAAGGAATAGCACTCTGAAAAGCTCACTTCTGACACCCTCCTCAGCCAAAGCCTATACCCTCAATATTATCCTCAATTTATTAATAACGGACATCTCCATTTTCTATCACAAGATGCAAGTATTCAAGCAACAGGAAGATTAATCGTACTAAACTACTCTGCAACTTAATCTGTAACTGCTCAAAAGATGCGCACAATTCTCATTGCGGTACTCAAATTACAGAAATAAGAAATCTCAGCACATGTAAA